GTAAGGTCAAACGCACTGTGCCGCCTCCGCTTGGTGGATTGCGTCTTGCGAGCATAGCCGCAAAGTGAGCTTGGTCGCAAAGGCAAGACTCTTGCCGCGCGCAAAAGACCAAACACCGAAAGTCACTTAAGCGTACCGGCACGTTCGACGCCAAACGCCGCGGCGGTAGTTCGTTTTTGAGTGGCACGCCGTGTCGTCGCTGCGAGGACACGTCGTTGCGTTCTCTTTGGCCGATCAACGCCCAAGTGGCGGTAGAATTGTAAAAGAAATTCGTAAAAATGCTCCTCCCCTGTGCGTCTGCTTTGATAGGCAACCACCATGCCCATGGATCTTCCATCTGGTTTTTGCCGCCTTGGAACTCCAAGATGTACATACATATATCCGATATTGGTTGCTCGCTGACCTTGCTGGTTTATAAGAAAAGCTTTGCAGGGGTATCGCAAATTTATTCGAGAGTATGGACCGGCAATATATAATTCAACCGGGTATTTGTCAGGCAAACGGAGAAAAGCAACAAATCCCTCGGTAAACATAAAACAACGGTGCTGCAGCGGGACGGATGCGGGATACGCTTTGATGTGCACCCACCACCCGCGAGCGTCTCTAACAGTTCCTTTATGGCAGCCATCGGGCATCTGTCGTACCGGCGTCTTTTTCTCCGACTAATTTATTAGTACCGCTTAGAGAATGGCACGGAGAGAGATCCGGCAGCAGGCGCTAGCCCCGAGCACAGCGACGACGAGTCGTCTCTCGGTATAAATCGGGAGACGGATCAGTCGGATACAGCGACGCCTGTTTTACGAGCATCGAAAATAGGGTGAGAGGACGCGAGACCAAGTGCGGTGCGCTACCGCGAGCGGTTAACGCGATGAAAACTCTCTTCGCGTTAAATGATTCACTGCGAGTAGAATATCGACGATTGCTGTACTCGTGACAATTTTCATTCCGTATCGAACACTTGTCATTCCTCATTCCATCATGCGATGTTTGTTTTTCAGAAATTTATTTTATATTCGACGGAGGAAATAAGAAAATACAAATAAAACACAGAATTGGTATTAAACAGTTAAGCAGAAATATGTAACTTCCTATTACAGACACATACAATATATGCGTCAATTAATACTATATTTCATACATTCAAATGTAATTCTTGTTGCTCTTATGAATTTAAATTACTGATTTAAGAATACTTAACATATCTAGGCAAGTAAATCTACCATCGATTGTATTAAACATTGAAACTATAACTATTTGAGAATAATAGAAGACGCAGAATGTCTTAAAAAAAATATTAGCAAACCGCATTTTGTAGCAGAATTATCCTCATTCATTTGACAACCACACCCTTCTTTCGATCGTGCGTCAACGGCCGCGTTACGACATCAAAAACGGTTAAGTAATCGCGTGCATCGTCGATGAGCTGACAGTGAGCGATGAAAATTGCGAAGTATCTATTAACTATGAGACCTATTCTCTGGTAAATATCATTCGTCATGCTTACCTGCTTGCGAGTTACATACATAGAATAACGCGAACGTTAGGTTACTCGAGAAATATGGTTGTGGCAAAAGATTACAGCCGAATGAAAATAGTCAAGCCCCTCCGTTGCAGTCTCATTTATCTCGGGCCATACTACTTTTGGCATATTTGCTCGTCGATGCGATATCGCGAGTAAATCATGATCACCGGAAATAATGGAAGCCGATTAGAAAGCTGGCTCTCTCGATGCACGCGCGTGACGCGGAAACCTCGGTCTCGAATCTTTCACGCATGGCTAATTCGTTGTGAGACAAGAACGATCTTACATTTGTCGTCAATGTATCAACGAATCGCAGCATCGTTCCCGACCGCTTTTCTATCCGCAGTACAATGCGATTCACACGGTCCTACTAAGCACGCGTCTCTCGAATGCCACAGGGTTTTCCGCATTTAGTCCTGGGACTTACGCAGGTTTCCGTATCACATCAGACCGTACATAGCTGGCGAAGGGCTTTTTCCATGGAGTTGAAGGATTTATGGCGGTGGAGGAGCGAGGCTTCGAGACCGAAAAATGCGTCGGCATTGTTTGAGGTGAAAGTTTTGCGCAATGGGCGTCGTTCGCCACGGGTCACCGGGGGTTTCTGCCACGATCGCTAGCAAAATTTCTCCTTGCGAGAAGAAGCAGGTATGCGAGCAGAAGCATGTGCCGCATGACCTGCGAGCATCCTGGCCATTAGAGATCGTAAATTTTTTGTGACACGTCCGTTCAGCAGGCAAACGCATGGACAAAACGTGTTTCTTTTCTTGTCTACTTAAAGTTTTCTTTTTTCGGAGAACAATGGTATTGAGGAGACACGATTAGATGCTTCTCTTCAAGTGTTTGTATTCGAAGGAAAAATTCATTTTACGCTGGACAGGACGAACAGCCGTTCTAAATATAATCAGAGCGGTTGAAATTTGGCGTTCAGTACGCGCGGTCCGTCTGTCGTCGAATCGATCATTTTCATCCCGGTTATCCCCGGTCGCGGCGAATCTCGCGACGAGTCTCGTGGCGTCTCGGATGAAACCGTATAGTACCGCGCGCTAGCTTTATAATTCCGGACCGCCGAAAATATCTGGTAGCGAAGACGGACGACGACGGCCGTTTCGACGCGCCTGCGCGGACTTGGGGCACTCTTCCTGCTTTATGAATGGAGCCGTGGATCACGAGTCGCGGAGAAACGCACGGTAGCCAACTCGATCGTGTCCTCCGAAGCTATTCGAGTGAAGCTTTATAATTAGCGCGCCGCTATCGTGCCACTCTTCCTCGCAGATCCGTTCGACGTTGCTCGTTAGGCGATCATTAAAAAGGCACCGTAGATAATAATTCTCGTATTGAAGAAGAAGACGTCCGACCTTTTATACAGGATCCAGCTTCTTGCTTACACCACAGCTTAAGTTCGGAGGGTGTAACGCGAGTCGCGCTTCGTTCGATCGTTGGTGCCGCGAGATCGAATTACGAGACAAGTCCGCTTTTTCGGACATTAAGGAGGGAAGATACCTTTAAACTGCACCTGTTGCGCCAGCTACGAATTTTCTGATAAATAGCCAACGCGTTAGTCTAACGCGATCTTGAATCACCCATCGTTCCGGTAGTCGAAAAGAGCGGCAATAAATAATGCGAGCATCTTGCAACCGATTACTCCGTAAACGAATCGTTTACCTTTCGACCGAAATTCACACGAACGCAAGCTTTTAGTAACGTATCCGTCCGCAGATCGTTGCCCTCGGTTTTAAACGATTTGCAAAACGTCGTAACAAATTTCGTCGATATTTTATCTAGATTTTTCTGAACGCAACGCGAACCGGCACCTAGCGGCCAATCTTTCCGTTGTAATATATTGCTAATTAACTTCCACGGCGTTAGCAATCACGGCACGGCGGCGGACTCGATAGACGTGAGATCGATTCGTGCGGATCGGCGTGTTTCTCGGGTCCTTTCACCTGGACATCATAAATTAAACTTAGGAGAAATTAGCCCGAGCCGAGCCAGCCAGCACGACTCGCGAAGCGTATTTTGTCATTTCTTAAAACCCATTCGCGCCTACTTTCGCTGACGGCTTCATCGGCATGGGTCGTGTACATGCATCTACTACGTCACAAAGATAACTGCTTCGAGCAACGCACAGCTGCGATCGCAATAGATTACGTGCACGATTTAAAACCCGTTCCTTAAAAACTCCACGGAGGATAGTATAAAATTGTACGGAGTCGCGCAATAAATTCTGACAGACAGTTGACGCACCGTCGCGTCGAATGCGAAACGGATTCACCGTCGAACATGGTTCCTTCGCGCGGGGCAAAAACGTCATCGAGGACCGAATCCGTTCGTGTGCTCGGGAGAGGCACCGCGGAAGCTGGCGAAAAACTGTGGCGTTTACGGCGCCGAAACTCCGTAGACTGCCGTGGATTTATGTACGCGCGGCGGGTATCCGCGCGCGCGCACAACGAGATTTATCGGCGCTTGGCCGAGTTTCGGTAGGGCAAGTTGAGTGAATTGTAAATGTTTCCGGCAGAACTTCACCAAGATGGCGTCCTCCACCAGGGGCGAGTTTGTTTACGCCTCATGGCTCCCCACGTGGGAAAAGCAGCATGGCGCGCATCGAGGATTCGAACGCACGTATCTTCTGCCCGTTTCACGGCTGTTTTCCTATCGACGCCTACAAAATTTCCTCAATACCCTTAATTCTGTATTAACTTTTCTTCTCTTTTATCTTCGCTAGCAAATCTTACTCAATTTTTCGAATAAAATTCTGAAAACCCGTATTTAAATGATAAGAGAAGAGATTCTGTCATGATTTCTTTCTGTTAAAGTAAACACGCGAAGAAAAAGAATAAATTTACGGTAGACACTTTCATATTCCTTTGGGATCCACGCGGACAAGTTTCGTGTTATTTCTATGTAAATACAAGCGTTTAAAGATCCTTGTATTTATTCTACATTACGAGGAACGGGTTAACGTTATAATTCCAGCGATGTTCTACCAATCAAGATGAAATTTTCCTGAAACCTTATGGGAGTCTGTGCGGATTAACCGACGCGTAAAACCATTTAACGTGCGCGACGCGAATAACTTGTAACGCGATGAAATAATTTAGCCAAGTTGTTGAAATAAATGTTGTAATGGATACAACGATTGACCGCAGGATCAAAATAGATGCCCCGCGTCTAGAATTAATAGAGTTTATATCTTCATTAACGTGGTTTTCCGAGTGTGTAAAAAATGCTGTTTTATCGATAGAACGAGGACGAGTACGCGCATAAATTTACTTGGTAAAACGACACGTTGTTGAATCTATTTACTATCAGCGTGCACGTGGCCCCGCGTCGACAAAAATAAAAGAATCTTGCTGTTGCTCGTCGCTTTGCTTTTAGTTTGGTACATTTCAGACGCGCTTACATCGAATTATAGATTTAATTGGATGTTGAACTCGTCTATACTTAACTTATATAATTTTATTGGAGTTTTTCGACTTACATTTCATACGTTGCGGGGCGTGCTGTTTCCTTCGGGGCATCTGCGTCCTTCGGGGATGCTTGATTATCTCTGTGGCCTCCAGGACTTCGCTCGTAAAACGCAGTCGATCGAATCCCAAACATGTGACGGTCGTGTGTCGAAGATCTCGCTCGAAGATCCGGGTCTCAGATCTTCCGCGGGAAACCGTTCAAAGTTTCCCTTCGTCGGTGCACTAGAGTCACCCACACGCGCGTGTCCGGCGAGCACTACCTCATCGCGATTTCCGCGGATTGTTTCGACGACAAGATCCGTTCCCCGTCAAACGGTGTCATTTCGTCTTTGATCTTCCTTTATTATTTTCTTCGCTCTCCGCGTGGTATCGCACCTACATCGGTGCACCGGTACACTTGCTTATGATCACGAGAATGTAACTACAAGCTATCGTATACGAATATTTTTCCAGTTACGAGCTCGGCGTCAGACCCGAGGTGTATCGCGCACTGATTGCACTTGGGGAAATTCTCCAGTTCCGTGATCCATGCATGATCCGCGGATCACGTCGAACGTGATCTCACCAATACTTTAGATTATTGCGCGTATCACTTTTCGCGTTGCCGCGATAGGAAGAGGCACGATTTACAACTTTTCTAATATACTTCACTGGTTGAAAAAAAAACGCAGGCCTATTTGGGCGAGGGTTACGAGATCGTATAAGCCGCACCTACGAATGATCCAAGTATGAGAAGTAGGAAACGTGTAGCTTCTGGAAGCTGCGCGTCGCGAGGGAAACGTCAGCACGTTTGGAATGCGATCGTTCGTCCCTCCGCGTGTATAAACATGAACGATAATCGAGACGGCACGGGCTCCGGCTTCCGACACTTTTCAACGCATCCGCGTCACTTTCTCAGACTCCGCGGGTGCACTTCGCGCGTCGCGAGAAGATTTTTTTCGAGAAGTTTTTGTTCTCGATACGGAGGAACGAGTTGCTCCAAAAACTGGCAGATCCTTCCTTATCGGGGATCTAGTAACTCCGATGGATCGGCGCGATAACTTTTGACCACGGGACGTGTGCCTCGCGACGACGCCTCGCATCCACTTGGGACGCGCGCACGACACTCCGTCGTACGTACTTACGTTCGTACGTACGGAGCTAGCGAAAGCTCGCTCGACAGAGGAAAATGGAAGAGAGCGAGAGAATGAGAGGGAGAGCCGATAGGCGATCGCATCTCTATGCGCGGTCTCGCGTGTGTAGGTATACCTTGGACTCGGAGACCAATTGAAACAGTCAGGGTAAAACGGAGGAACAGTAGGAGAAGAGATGGGAAAAAAAGAAATAAAAGCCGTACGAAAAATATGGAGAACGAAAAAGATAGAAAGATGGAGAAAGGAATGAATAGATATCGATGAAGAGAGAGAGAAAGAGAGAGAGAGAGGAAAGGAGAGAGATAACTCGAGGGTAAGAGGGCAAGAACGTCAGCAAGGTAAAGAGAAAAGAAGCGGAGGCGGAGGAGGAGGTGGAGGTGGAAGTGGTGGCTACCGTCGTTCGTGGATCGCGAAATCGAGCGGGCGGCGGTCCAGCGCTGACTGACTACGGACTGGCGTCGCGGCAGCAGCCCGCGTGGTGGGGGGCCCCAGGAGTAGTAGTCCTCTTTCCCTCTCGTCTCCGCCACTCGTTCTCGTTTCCTCGCTTGCCAAGCTCTTCCTTTGCTTTGCTATATGCTTTGCCTCTTTGCCCACTCTCTTTCCAACGCTTCTCTTCGCATCTTTTTCACTGCACACTCGTCCTCGTACTCGCGTCCACTTTACCGATCGATTCGCGAAAACGTGAGACGATTATCGAAAGTCGGAGTATCGGTCATCGAGCCTCGATGACGAGGCAACAGAAAAACGCATGAAGGGTGGATGCCTCGAAGGAAAGGAAAGCATCGAGCAAATGTGTACATGCGATCGTAGATAGAAGAGGGGCGATTCTTTCCGTGAGCGTCGATTTTTTTTGGCTACTTGTCGATTCGACGACGCGGTAATAACGACGAAGAGACTGGTAAAGAAGTTTAGCGGCGGCGCAATGACAACCATTCCACGTCGTCGGACTCTTCTGTCCGCTCCAACGTGTTCGCACTCCGGTACCCAGGCGGTTTTCCTTTATTTCCATTCGCACTATAACTACGCGTTGAGAATAGAAAAGAAAAACGGGCGAGTCGCGGATACAGAGAACGAGACCCGACGAAAAGGTTCGACGAAAGTTCGTGGATGGGCCCGAGGGACTGACGTTGCGTTCGCGCGTGTAAGACACGGTCGAGGAAGGAGGCGGGGTCCTTAACCACCTCGGCCCCGCTTAAACCCGCGAGCGGGGAGAACCGCTCTGTACGAGCGATACTTTTTTCCGCCGTCAGAGGCGCTGTCGGATGCGACGCGTAGCGTACGACGGTACTACGGCGTCACGGAGCCACACCTACGAGTTTCTCGAGTTTCTCATCCCAATCACTTCGGTATCGACTTCGCATAGATTCGGTGAGTGGATTATTGTAATTGTCCATAATTGGGGCACACAATGCGAAGCTGGACAACTGTTTACACGTGAAGATTATATTGCTATTCCACAAATTTACAAACTAACCTCAAAATTATAATATTCCTTCGAAAACCGAAATTTGAAGGAAATTGTAAGACATGTCTGTAGAAGTGATAAATATATACATAGATTGTTTTTTCTTTTTCAAAGAATTCTTTAAAGAAAAATTTTTATTGTTATTATCGAAAAACATGTGATAATTATTATATACATAGATTGTTTTTTCTTTTTCAAATAATTCTCTAAAGAAAAATTTTTATTGTTATTATCGAAAAACATGTGATAATTATTTTAAATTTAGTATTCAAATCTATTTTAAATTGTACAATGATTAAGAAATAAAACAGTTTTATGGAATGAAACAATGTTGGAGTACATTTTAAATATTTAGATAATTCTTTTCGTATTCAGTTTAGGTTTAGTTAAGTACTGAATAATTTCATGAAAAGACTATAATAATTTGAGATAATCGTAAAATCTGGAAAATTTAGAATGCAGTTTGCTATTACGAATTGACCTCAGGAATGAATCTCATTCTCCTTTAGTCATGAAACATAAGCGCAAAATATTCCCTTGTAAAGCAATTAATAAAAACAGTAATTTTTCACGTTCGGACATCAGACCGACGTAAGCCCGTTCGATGTTGTTTTCCGAAAAATTTCAAAATTCTCGCATAACTTCCGACCGGTAGTAGTAAGAGCGAGCGTTACCCTCGGCGCGTGACGATCAGCGATAATTTAGGACGAGGATTCGAGCTGGGAAAGAATCGGAAGGAGGTCGAAGGATACGAGTTCGTCAGACTATGAGTAGATATCTCGGGTGAGCGGAGATCGTTTTGGCGGGCACCGGTGGCGGCGCTGGCAAGGTCGGTGGAACCGAGGGGAAAAGAGCATCGGCGTACCAACTACCAGGTTGTGCCCGCCTACCAGGCGGAGCCCGCATGATCTATAGCGTCATAGAACACCCCTACCGTTGTGGTAGGAACTCGATGGCGACGCCCACGGTGTGGAACGTGCGCGCTGCCCCCGCCGCCTCCGCGGCAGCCGCCGTCGGTGCCGACGCCGCCGACGTCGCCGCCGCCACCACCACTGGACCGCCACCGGGATGTTTATGCTCCTGCCGGTGTGTCTCTATCTAGTCGTGGCCCTGGTGCGCAACGCTGCGCTGCTCCTCTTCTGGCTGCTCCTTGCTACCGATGCACCCGACTACCGTGCGTCGTTACAGCCACCGCCACCTCCGCTACCATTGTCGACCGTAGTCCTTGGCATCCTGGTCGCCGTATCTGTCCTGTTCCTACCTCATAGTCACCCGGCTCATTCTACCGTACGCTCATTACCGCTAAACATTCCTGTCAATTAAAACTGCGCCGACAACCGATTTACTGCTATTCCGCGATTCATCCACCGTGAGATCCTCCTCATCGCGTATTTTCTATTTTTTTTCCTATGCTTACACTTGATAAACTCGTGTTTTGTATTCTTTTCTATGAATACTAAATAATGTATGCAGATGTTAGTTATCGTTTTCCCGCCAAGAATAATGTAATAGGTAGAGCTGATCTCCCAGTGAGTTCATCACTGCACCGGTTTTCTTCATGTTTCCTATGTGATTTATATGTATATTAAGAAATTCCAATTTTGGAGGTTTTTGTCAGGCGCAAGGGAAATCGAAGTTTCGATCAACGCGATGTTTTAAATAGGTTTTAAAACTCCGATTCTTCGAGTGGTTGCGTTCAATTTTATACGGTGTGCGTGGTAGTTGTTCAATGGATGTTGTGTCTCTTCGTCGAAGGGAACCTCTTCGAAGGAACTAAGGGGTATTCGTGGCAATTGTCACGCCCGAGTTTTACGCCAATAGCGTTAGGGATTCGGAACGGCGCGGTGCGGCGGCGACTGTCATAAAGAGTATTTTATTTCGACGATCGTGGTGCCGTTTTTGTTCTGGGGTAGCAAAGCGATCGCGTCGTTTCTACGCGCGTCAGACCAATTCAACGCCCCGGCGACATTCGCGGACCCGACGTTTACGAGATCGTTTATTAGGTGACGTTTCCATCGAGCAGTTTTGTCAGTAGCTGAATCCTTTTCTTTGCCGTGGAAGTTAAAGAAGATGCGAATGCCTCGTAAAAATATTTAAGGTTCCATGAGCCCTTAGATAAAAATAATGACGGAGCATTCAAATTTTTACAGTTATTAGTTATTACATTAATAAAACACCGTGGAAAATATCAGAAATTTTGCGAGCTTAGTAAACAAATTATTATTAGGTTGTTAAGAAAATAATTTCAGTCTTCACAAATACATAGCCGAAATTACTATCTTGTCAATCCAATGCATCTTGAATTCTTATATTAAATGGCAATATTTTGATTTCGTTTATAAAAAAAAATATAGATGGAACAATGAGAGAATTTAACAATTTTGTATAATTAATAATACAAGTTTTAGAATATTTTAAGATTGAAATAATATCAATTTCGAGTATATTATTTAAGATATACAATAAGAAGTAAGCAAAAGTGATGAGAATTGTAGGACTTGTAGACAATGTAAACCGTTGCAAGTCAGGTACAATCTTACCAAAAAATGTGAAAACTAGATAATTACTTACTACTAAAAACTTACTTACTATTAAAAACTAGATAAAAATTAAAATAATTATTAGACAGTACGTTAGAAACACTCTGTGACTTAAAGAAGCACATCGAATAATTTTGTAAATCTTATTTCTCTGTAAATACAATTTTTCTTAAAAGTTTACGATGCAAATATTGGACACGACTTTTTATCACATGTGTTAAATTTTTGGCAGAAATCTTACGGCTTAGACAATCTTAAAGAAGATCCGAACTTATAAAAATATTTAAGCCATTCGGAATGATTGATAAAATTAATGCAAAGATGTACGACAGCAAAACATTTGAATTATACATCTTAACTTCTTATGGTAATGTATAAAATTAATTCGCTTTTTTTATGCATAAATAAACACAAGAATAGATGAACGCGTACGATAATATAGTGTAATGAAATTAGATCAGACAAGAAAGATTATACGGTATTGGAAATTGGAAAATTGTTCGAAAAATATGTACCTATAAGAAAATGAATAAATAATTCATGACTAAACGTTTTGTTTCACTTTCACTTTTTTAAGAACCGGAGAATATTACATCATTATTTATGCGATCTAAAACACATACGTATTTAACAAAACACGTGATCAAATAGCAGAAACGCGTTCCAACAGTGTTTAGCATATTTATGTATTCAGTTAGAATATGATAAACCGAGTTAGGTTGATACAACACCATTCAGATAATTTTGGTTCGTCGAGACAAGATAGGTAACGTAAATATCGCAATTCCTACTCGCTCACGTATTTTTCTATAATTTTAACATAACAAACAAGTAATTTTAATATTTTTCAACGTCGTTATTCATGATTCCATGACGTACTTTACGCTATAAGACTCAATTTTTACTTATTATAAAGAATTATTCAAGTACGGAACTATTATACACATTTGATGCTTTCGTTGCAATGCTACGGTTTTTATTAAGGATACGAAAATTTATAACTAGGAAATTAAGGATTTCAAACAAGATAAAGAATCTTTTAGTGTAAGAAAAGGTGTGGACAGTGCTTAGAAAGTGTGTAGTTTTATAATAATGATGAAGTTAAATTTCAATATCCGTTTACGTTAATACAAAAATAAGGATAACATGTGCGTTATTTTAACCAGCCGCCAATATTTCGACGCGACATATTTGAAATTCGTACAGAAAATACAATTAGGTTCGTTAGCAATGGATACCTTTTCTAACTTTGAGATTGGAATCAAACAAATAATTAACATTGTATATAAAAATAGTTCTAAATAAGTTAATAAAATTAAAATAATTATTAGTGGTGGTTGTTTATTAGCATTCTACAGCCTTACGTTAAGAAAATAAATACTTGACGATCTTAGAAGTCATACAGACATGGCTTGAGTAAAAAGTAGAGACATGATTTTCTTACTGAGTAGAAATACAGACATCAGTGAACGGAAATAAGAACATCGAGTTCTAAATGAATAGAAATACAGACATTCGAGTTGTGTACTTCACATCTTCATTTTAAAGGAAAAATTGATTTTAAATAATCAATTGTCTGATTCATCGAAATGTGTATTAAATCCCACGGGTACAGGTACTTCCCTTATAAATGTTGACTTATACATTGTTTTCTTATGTTCAGTTGATAGGAAAATCATGCTTAGCTGAGTAGAAATTGGGACATTTACCTTATCAAGACATTGGGGAGATTGAAAAACGATATTTCGCGCGCATGGTACGCGTCAGATGCGTTCGGGTCTACCGGCAACTGCGGGGGGTGTCCGTTTACGAGCGTTACCGTCGTCGGTCGACGAGACCGAAGGCACTAAACTTGCGAATATTTCGAAAGACGTCCCGTTATGCAACGACAATGTGGGTCAGCACACGAGTCCGCCGTTTGCTGTACGTTTGCTTATTTCGTACAGCCAGTTCCCCGCGGGACCCGAAATAAGTGCACCTCGTAAAATAAACCACTGCATACACCGCGTTTCCTCGACAATCCACCGTCCCGGTACCGTCGATCTTCTGACGTTCCATAACAGATCCGAAAAACATACTTTGGCAACTAATGCAGGTTCATAAATTCAACTCGAAGAAAATTATGCAAGTATGAAAAATTGATAGCAACTTCTTAAACGCTTGCCCTCTTCTCGCTTGATTCCTTATTCGTTCGAATAAAAATGTTAATTATTTGAAAAACATATTTATGTCGCCACACGTGGATCTGTTAAATGCAATTAATTAATTTATATTTCAGAATTAGTGAAGTAATCATATCGATTGTATTTTTATCTGTGATGTAGCATTTTTATTACCGGTCAAGGAGAGAATTATACTGGTCG